TTCGCATCTTCTCTGCTTGTTATTGATGCAGGCAGTAGTGTACATGGCTGCGTGCATCAGTGACCCACTGTGCTATTGATTCCATGTTTGGATCTCTTTTTTCAAAACCTGTCCACAGAAGCGGCCAAATGGCTTCACTTATTTCAGTATTACTTCAAATAAGGAAAATAATTTAGAGCTTTTAATGAGGACGGAAATGTGCTTTGCATGTTATACACAAAAAGACACCGTCCAGGAAATCACACAGCAGCTGTGTTGCTTTGTCCCAACAAGTCAAGCCTCTGTTTGAATGTAGTTACCAGGCGAGAAACACATTATTCACATAAATCCTGGAGGCAGCATACAGGCAGTATTTCAAAGGTTGTGCTCGTTTCATGATGCTTTATGAGACCGCTGAGAAAGGACGATAAAGCAGACTGTCTATTATTTCACTTTGACACCAGGCTGTGGCATTTCATGTGCATGGCCCTTGAGCTGTCTAGGTATTGTCATAATAACGATCGCAATGATTGTGTTCAGCTTTATTACAATGAATATGCTGGAGGTGGAGTCTGAGTGTCCTGTGAACATACAGGATTCATTTTATTTAAGTACCAAAGCTGAAAAGAAAAAAAACTCACGAGTACATTAGCCACAGAATAAAGTCAAGGCGACAAAGGTTGGTGGACCAAAAACAGGGACTAATGAAGGACGTTGGCATTGGTGAGGTGGCAGATGATGCAGCAGGGTTTTCAGTCAGTTGAACTGAAGGTACAACAATGGAGCACAGAGAGAACCAGTTCACAGAGACTGTTACCGTTCACTCTCACAGTGGTATTTGATTTGGATTCTTTAAATATGCCAGGACAAACATGAGGAAAATGTGGCCATTTAATAAAGTGAACGACACTACGTTGTACATTTTTTATATTTTTAAAAGCTGACTGACACAGTAAACTGCCTTTCTGTATGCCTTTCAAGCAGTAATTTCCCATTACTTACTACTAACTTAATCAGACTGAGTAAATAATATATAATAAATCAATAGTGATGAAAAAATGTAGACAGCGTAGCTCTGATTCTAGCCCTTTTCAGACCAGCTAACATTGATGATTCACTTTGATTTGAGTTTTCAGCTTGTCATGAATTACTCTTATTAGAGTCTCCCTTCACTTTCACACTGGCCTGTCAACATCAGAGTTGGCTTGTACAGCCTGGTGCCTCCTTGCTTCTCCTTGATCCATCGGAGCTGAAGTGGAGGGGGTTTAGTTTGTCACTCTTTATCTATTGATGTTTTATCTTGAAGCACTAAATCAATTGCTCTTTGAGGTATCAGTATCTGTGGCCAGCCTGGGGCAAATGCAACC